GGCAATCCAGAATTGGGTAGCGTCAGCGAAACGTTGCCACCAAGACCAAGCACTGTCAGCCCTCGATCAGCGCCTATGCCTCGACAAAAGCCAGCCGTCCTTCACAGAGAAGAAGTCACACCAAAAACAGTTGTTGTCACAACCACTCGTAGTACAACAACCACACAGCAGCAGATTATGGAAGAACGCAAGAGGTCCTCTCCAGTGCCTCCATTCAGGCCTAGAATTGCTCACAGAGATGAAAGGCCAACTGAGGCAACCACTCACTCTCCAAGTACAAGACAGCAGCAAACTTTCGAAGAACGAAGATGGGTCAGTTCAACTCCTTCACCAGTGAACACCTTTGTCCCAAGGCGCCTGCCGGAAGCTACCACAGAAAGGACAACCCACTTGACAAGGCCTCAGAGGACTTTCACAGAAGAAGCTACCACAGAAAGGACAACCCACTTGACAAGGCCTCAGAGGACTTTCACAGAACCTTTCACTCCAAGGCCCTCACCCATTCGACCGCTTTTGCCAGAGAAAGCTCGTCACGAGATTGAGGACGTTCCCAAGACGGATCAGATACTTGTAAAACCTTTGGAGCCGTTGAGGGAGAACATTCAACCGCGGGTAGACCGTGTTCCGGCTGCCAGAGCCGAGGCAACATCAGTCGCACCGAACGAAAAGCAAGATGAACGTCTGATTAGTGCTACCTTCAGAGAAAGCCCCAACTCTGATCAGCTCCCTCCTACAGAAGTCCTGGAAAAATCTCAACAACCCCGACAGCAAAGCGTCGCTACTCATCCACATGTTTACAAGACAAGCTCAATCAGCAATTACAACCCGCAACAAAACAACAATCTGGCAGGACTCTCTCCTCCCGTCGATCCCACCTACTTTACCTACAATTCGCAGCACCTTGGTGGAAGGGGCAATCGTCAATTTGTTGCGAACAACATGATGTTCAACAGGCAACTGCCTCCAGCAAGAACGAACTGGAATCAGTTCTCGGTCCCTGGTCACGGAGCGCGTGCATGGGCACCTCAGACTTTCTCTGCCTTAGCACCTAATCAGCAGTTTCAACCAATACTACAAACAAATCAGTTTGGTCAAGCTCAGCCTCATGTGCCGCAGCTAACTATAAGAAATCCGTCTGATCGTGCCGCTAACCACGCTGGTTCACAGCAGTCTCCTGGATTGACAAACTTTACTAACAGAGGAGCTCCCCTTGCCGAAGTTAGCTTGTCCGTCACCCCTGAAAACACAGAATGGCCAGTCAGAGGCATTTTCACAGAGTGCAACTCCTTCTGTACCTCAGTCGCATGCTGTCACTCAACAAGGTGCAAACTCATTGGTGAAACCTGAGCACTCACCCTTAGAGCCCAACACTTTCAATACACCAGAGGCAGTGGTGCAGCCAACGGCTCAAAGTCGAGCAACCAATCCTTCGTCCTCTTCCACGCAACACACAGTTCCATCCTTCGCTGCTGAACAACCTCGAGTCTTTGATGCCAATCTCCAATCACCAAAGCCCTCTTTTGTCCCTCAGGATTCTTCCAGCAGGAAAGAAACAATGCACCATCTTTGTTCAGGGTTCAAAGTGAAGTACAGCCCCCTAGAAGGATAAGAATTGAACCAAAGAATGGCAGCTCTTCCAAGCAACTGCTGGACAATCACTGGAACGTCCCCAATTTCCCATATCACCTCAAGCTTCAGGACAACTATCAAATTCTCAAAGGGAACAACAAGTGAACCGCAATTGGGCAGAGCCCTTCCAACAGAGCCCGGAGCAACATCAACCCTTCGATCAAAATCGAAACGCTCACAATGTGCCTTCCAATAAACAAGCGGAAATCAAAACCGTCAAGCAGCAATCGACCCCAAATCATCAAATACCTGAAGAACAGGTGGTCCAAACAGACGGACCCCATCACAACGAATTTCCCAAAAGAACCATAGAGAACAACCGAATGGTAATAAGTTCTCGACCAAAGGTGGGTTCGCCAGTAGAGCAGAACATAATTGAGACAAAGAGTGAATGGGAAAGGGTTAACGCACAACGAACCCTCACTGAACGACGAAACTTCCACAGTGATAAGACCAAAGTAGCTGCTCTGAGCGATGACGACGAAAGCGAGGAGTTCCCTGCAAACATCGATCGCAGCAGATTTATCTATTACAATGGCGATTACTACGCACCAACTATACCAGGAATTCGAGTACCTCGTCCAGATCTCGAAAACTCCCCCCAAAATGAGCCTGTTTCCATATTGGAAGGACCACCCAAGAGAATGTTCCGCGAATTCCGACAACATTCAAATGAGTTCAAGAAGACAGCACCTCTCTTAAGTGGTGGACGCTTCGGCTCTGGTAATTTTCTGAGCATCATGAACAAATCGAGATATCTGAAAGAAGAGGGCTCTGTCAATAATGCGCCGCCCGTCCGTGTGCCCGACAAACGACCACGTAAGCTACAAGAACTTTCTGAACACCTCACTTCTAATGAGTATCCTGAGTTCCTTCGTGCACCACAGCCTAACAGCACACGCACTAGACCTATGCACACTCTTAATCAGGTCACTCAAGTTCACGATTCACTATATGATAATTTTCCGAGACACATGCAGCACATTAACACCACACTCACTGAATCCATCACTAATCAAGCACCGAACGATCGAGCTAACCATCCAATGCCACTCAATATTCAGCCTATTACTAGCTTTACAGGAATTATTTCCGATGACGACGAAGAAGATCTTTCCGATGAGATACCTCGTCGTGCCGCTGGTGTTGCACAAGCTCGCAATCGTGAACCGATCGGAATCGAGCACCATCACGCAGCTTCGCCATCGCTGAAAACGCTCGCCCATCCTCAAGCTGTTCATGGTAAGAAGATCGCAAAGGTTCCTGTCATTCACATGGGCGGATTGATGAGCACTGCAAGCACAGAAGCCTCTGAAGAGAATGAGGACGGCATGGTACGGACTGACCGTCCGCCAACAATCACTGGTCAGCGAGTTACTAGAACTACGCATAGATCTCACAGCACCACAGAAGCACCTCACACTTCCACCACTTCGAAAACAGCTGCTTCCAGAAGCACTAGTGCTAGCTCGACCACGACAAGAAGAGCAGCTCGCACAGAAAGCACCACTGTCAGTGTTGATGACTCAGTAAACAGCACAGGAAGCACGGGAGCCAGCTATGGCACCACTCAAAGGGGGGTTTCAGCTACGGTGCAAACACCATTAGAAACAGGTCCACAATCCTCAACGACTGAAGCAGCTACATCTGAAGCCGATCCCTATAGCGATGGTCTACAGAATGACCTTCCTGAATCGACTACTGTTAGCGCAGAGTCTACCACGGAAACTTTCAGCGATTCTTCAAGCACTTTTAGTTCCGATTCCACACGAGGCTCTTCTCCTAGCCGTCCTATGTCAACGGATTCCGGTGCTTCCACGGGGACGTACATGCCCACCACTGCAAGAAGCACCAATGCACCACTTTTGTCGAGCACTTTGTCCCGCACTGATCTTGATGAGGAAGCTTCTGTTGATGACGATGTCGTGTCTGTCAGCTTGTCCTCCATTCTGTCCACCACCATTTCCCCAGCAAGCACCGACAGTGGTTCCACAGTCACCAATGATGCCTCTTCACTCAAATATGCCACAAGCACAGTCCATCCATCACATGTTGAGTCCACCACCACTGCAGAAGAGGATACAATTGCACCCATATCCCCCTATGATAGCACAACTGTCGACGACAGTACCACCGCCAGCACTCCCGTTCCCAATACCCATTCAGCGAAGGAGGCAAAAGTTCTCCCTCAATCCCATAGTGGTAGTGATAATACAATTGACCACGATACCAAAACGCTTGATGATGATGATGATGACGATGAACATGATTTGGAAGATGAAGTTGAATTCTTTGATCCTAATAATTTGCCTCCTCCACCACCAGAGAATGACCGGCGTCCCCCAATGAAGGTAGAAATGCCGCATGTTTATGGTGAGACTAATAAGCCACTGAAAAAGATTGAGATCTTGCCCAAGTCCATCATCACAGCCAGTGCACCCACTGTCACGGCAAACGTCACCGACAGCACTGTTCAGTCTACCACTGTCGACACGACACTCGCTAAGCACGGCGGTACCTCCGCACCAAATGCTCTACGTTCTTCCTCTTTCGAATTGTCTAGTTCAGAAGAAACAGCCGGCTATGCTGTAGGACGAGAACCTGTGCCGCTTTCACCTGTCGGAATTGGTCGCAATATGGAACGGCTCGATATTGACGGGCTAGGTTAGTTAGTTATTTTTGAAAAGTACTTTTTTGAGATAAAGGATAAAGTCTTCGCCGTTAATCAATCCCTTAGTGGGACGCAGCAGCATTCTAATTCCATTCATCGTATTGGCTTACTTGAATGCGATGTGGCCTATACAATGACTTGCGGGGGCCAGCCGATGTACAAGTCAGTGTTTTATCCTCCCAGACGAATCTGGCACCGTCCCGTGTGGGTAGAAGGCTTGGTTGGCCTAAGCGGGAGCCCATGATCTGAACCCAGGACCGTGCACGTAGTAAGCGTGCAACTTGTCACTACATCATCTCTGCCTCATTTTTTGAGAATACAGCCTTTTATTGGGTCCCTGTTCGAAAGTGTCCAGCGTGTTATAGCTACTGGTATTGGAAGGCACCGGTCGTATGGGAGTTCGGTATATTATATGTTAGCTGTTAGAATGCGTTCATACTTTGCGGCAACGTCCACCAGCAACCAGTATCGTCCACAAGCATTCCGGGCATCCGGCGTCAGAGACTAGGAAAGCATAGATATCGGTCAAGCGTATGCCAGCGTCTACCAGAATCCACCAGCCTCTTGAGAGTCAGAGAGGTATAGGTTCGAACTAGCGTCGGCCAGGCGATCTACCAGCGGTTTACTAGCGACCGATGCAGCATTTGGCTGATAACGAGTACGAGTGGGTGAGAGTATAGGAGAGGTGTCAGTTGTCTGGTATCCTCGTATCACCCGACACTCTCTACCAGCAATCTCTCACCCTCCTATCGCGCCATATTCGCTCATTGACGCTGCTAGACTACTAGACGCTGGTGGACGCTGGCAGATGCTGGCAGACTCTAGACCGATATCTATACTTTCTGAGTTGCTGGCGCTGCCGGACGCTCTGAACGCTGGTACACGCTACTGGTCGCTGAAGGACACTGCTGTCAAGTATGAAAGCAGCCTTACGGAAATTGGATATAATGATGCACCAAGAAATCGCTTTGAGGCGGTAAGCAGATGAAACCTCGACAGAAAATTGAAGCTATAAAATTTTTCTGCAATCAACAACCTTGAGCTTTTCCCTATTGACAAGCACCCTTACCCATCACAGTGTTTCCGTATTTTTCTGCTTGGACAAGCAGAGGACAGGAACAGCGGGGAAGGCTTTATGAGCATCTCTAAGACCACGGAATACATTTCCGAAGCCCGGACCTATGTAGATTTTCATTTTCCACAATAGCTCCTCCTCCGGTGCTCAAACAACTTTTTTATTCTCTGGGTTTGCTGGTGGTTGGGTTTGGCGCAGCGCCTGCTCAAACCCCACCAATTGTTGTCGCTTGCACATTCAGCGGGTGGTGAAAAACAGGCTGGCGTCGCGCTAAGCACAGCCTCCCTCCACACACCAGCATCCGCAACGATTAGGACTATGATTAGGGGTCCATTGTAATGTCTTGAAGCACAGCAAGGAGAGTCTACGCGGTTTGGCGACGGGGAGGGGGCATTTTGCACTTTCGCTGCTTTGCTACAAGTCTCTTTTTGGTGAGACCTTGGAACACTTCTGAAGTTGGAGCTCGTCGAGCCATCATGGAAAAATCTGCTAACTTTTGCAAACTCCCGAAACGGCTCTCTAGATGGGTTGGCGCGTCGATAGGAAGAGCAAGAGAGCCAGATGCACCCCTCCTGTCGCCGAAGTGCCCCAGAAAAGTCCTCAAATGCGTGCGCTGCCGCCCTCTGAATCCTAGTAATTTCGCAAATATCTGCCATTAGTTACAGTTGCAGTTTTAAGTTTTGATTTATTTTCCAGAAGAGCCGACTACGATAATTCCGCTTTCAACGAGCACGTCGACCACAGCAGCCAATGCTGATTCTGCTACTTCGAGTACTGCAGCTGTGACTTCCGCTCAACAAACATCTTCGCCGGTCTCTACTCCTAAGATGGAATCTATCAAAGAGTCACCGAAAGAGCCAAGTCCCAACCACGCCGGTTTCCGCGACCCAAGCCCCAACAACAACCCCATCGACGACAGCAGCAGCGACTTCGCAACCCTCAACGACGACTCCTTCACCATCAACTCCTTCAACATCAGCTCCTCCAGCATCAACTTCTACTACACCAGCACCAACGACGCAGAGACAAACGGTACAACCGTCGACAACACAATCGACGTCCACTTCAGTACCTGTGACCACCAGAACTTCTCCAAGTGGAACATCGGCAACAGCTCGCCCTGTGCAGGTAACGACGACGTCGCCGAGAGTACAAACTGAACAGAGAGTATTTGATGCACGAGTCGTCTGTGCTCTACCTCCAGACGCTGGACCATGCTTCGACTATGTTCCTCGATGGTAAAACTTGGCAAACCTTTTGTAGTCGGTGTGCGCCGTATTTGAGGTAACGATATTTAAGGTTCTTCAACGCTCAGAGCAGTCAATGTGAACAGTTCTCGTATGGTTCCTGTGGCGGAAACGAGAACAACTTCGTCGAGAGAACCGTATGTGAGATCAAGTGCATGCCAGGTAATTCTTCCGAACCACTAGTTCAACATGAATCTTTTACATCCTCGTGTTTACAAAGACGAGCGGACGAATTTACAGCTCACG